ATGTATCAGGCAGGATCAAATTTTGTAAAGAACATTAAAGTAAAACTGAGGTGCAAAATGCATTCAATTAGAAAGGAAGATTTTTTTTAATTAAAAATACTCACTAAATACATAATAGTCATGAACTTTTCTGCACTGAATAGATAAAAAATTCACTCTGAAAAATTCAACAGAAAATGGAAACTATCTGAAGATTTAAACTCAATGCTTTCAGACTGAGACAGATCAAGTAGATAGAAAATACAGATATAAAGAATCTGAATTATACAAAGATGATGGTCAATCTGGTAAATATGACACATTTGCATCAGAAATTAATTGAAAGTGATGAAGGAAAATATTCTCAATCAATAACTTGATAGCCAACAAAAAATTTTTTTTATGAAAAAGAAAAAATTCCTCAGGCAAAAACTAAGGGAATTAATCTCCAGCAGACAGACTCAATACAAAATGTTAAAGGAAATTCTTCAGACAAAAGAAATATACCAGACAGAAACTTGGGTCTACACAAAGAAATAAAGAGCATTGAAATTGGGATAAATGAAGGTAAAAATAAACTCTTTTTTTTCTTACTTTTAAATGCTCTAAAGTTAAATGACTATCTTCAACAAAAAGAGCAGCAATGTATTGTGTGTTCATGGCATATGCAAAGGTAACATGAATGACAACAATAGGACAAAGGCAGGAGGGAAATGAGAATATACTGTTGCAAGGCTGTTAAATTATATGTGAAGCAGTACAAGATATAAGAAGGTACACTGAGTAAAGATATGTAAAGTAAGCTTTAGGACAATTACTTTTAAAAATAAACAAGAGATAAATAATTATACAGATTTTTTAAATCATGAGAAATGCTGAATTTTTAAAAATATTTCCTGTCAAAAGAAGGCAGGAAAATGAGCAAAATGTTTGTGCTAGGGATCAGTGAGATACATCAGGGACGCTCTCTGAATATTCACCAATTCCCTTCTTTCCTTTCCTTTCTTACACTTCCCTCAGCCAAGCCAGACATTGCTAGTCAATCACAGCACTTGCCTCAATCAGTCTAGATACCACGTGTGGGCGCGCATGTACAGTGCGACTGAAACTTCGTGGCCCATGCTCAGAAGTCGGTATTTTGTGGAAGAGCCACACTCAAGGGGCCAAAGAGCCGCATGTGCCTCGCGAGCCGCAGTTTTCCAACCACTGGTCTAGACCAACCCAAGATGCTCAGCACAGGACCCAGTACACAGAAGCACTTGGTAAATTCTTATTGTTTAATATAATACTCTAGACAGCCATAGCTACTCTCAGAGCTGAAATGAAAGAAGGAAATCTCATTCATTCATCCATTCAACAAATAGTTATTGAATGCGTATCACACACCACGCACTGTAGTAGACACCAAAGATACAATGGTGAGTAAAAACAAGTGTGGCCCTTACTCTCATGGAACATAAAGTCTGAGTGGGGGGGGACGGGGGGAGGCAGATCCTAATCAATGATGTCACCAATCAATACATAATGCAAAATGAGATAATTGCCCTACACAACAGGAATGATGTTCAATGGCTGTGGACCTGTTCTTGGAGGTAGGAAAGGCTCTGAAAAAGCAACACTCTAGCTGAGAATGGAAGGAGAGTTGCCTTTAACTAAAAGGGAGTGTGGGGGAGGGGCGCAGAGGGAAGAGAGTTTCAGTCAGAGGGAACAGAATGGGCAAAGGCTCTGAGCCAAGTAGGAGTGTGGTCAATTTGAGGAATAGAGAGGTGGCTGGCTGAAGAAGAGGGGTAGGTTGATAAATGAGACTGAGAGGTTGGCAGGAGCCAAACCCTGTCCGGTCTCCAAGGGCATGATAAGAACTCTGACCTCGTCATTATCTTAAGAGCAAGAGAAGCCACTCCAGGATGTGACAAATAACGGAGCTGGAAAAGGCGCAGTGACATTTCCCCTGGTCCAGGCCTGATATGCTTATACTCTAGGTAGGAGCTTTCCTGCCACCAGCTTCATGGAAAAGTGCTCATTCTTGTCTACTCTGTCTTTCCCTCAGGATCGCACACAACGCTCAGCTACCAAGAGATCAAATACCCACATCAAAAGCTAATAAAAACTTGTTTTACTCATACTAGTTGCCTTTGAGCCACAGGCCTAGCAACCTCCCAAGAACTTCCGAAAGGTTTATGAAAAGCAAATTCCCCTCCACCCTCTCCCCAGAGCATGAGCTCACAAATCAGACAGCAAAGCTGGACCCATCCTCTCAAAGTTGGTGGTGCAGGGCTCAAGCTCAAAACAAGATCAACCTGAGCCTGGATCCGGGCTCTGATTCATGGGAGCAGAGGTGGGTGTTGGAAGAACTGGCTCTTTGAGGGACTTGGATGAATCAGACCTTCAGATGCATCTTCTGGCTGACAAAGTGAAGGTCTGAACTACAGCAGTCACGGGTTTTCCACCTGTGTTCTGGAAAGCCCTACAAATGGATGGAGGTGTCCCAGGAATTCAACTCAGAGCAGAGAGGGCTACTAAACTCCCCACATTCAACTCCATTCACCCAGAGCCAGCCACTCTGCTTGGGTATAGATCAGGGGTGGGCAAACTTTTTGACTTGAGGGCCACAATGGGTTCTTAAACTGGACCAATAAATGTGAAAAGCCTTGAACAAAGTGTTTGTGTGAACTAATATAAATTCAAAGTAAACATCATTACATAAAAGGGTACGGTCTTTTTTTTTTTTTAGTTTTATTCATTTCAAACGGGCCAGATCCGGCCCTCGGGCCGTAGTTTGCCCACGGCTGGTATAGATATTGGGAAACTGCCCGGTATTGCATTTGGTGCTAAAAAGAACATTTTTAGACAATAAAAATAAATGAGAAAAGCCTTGAACAAAATGATCCTTGTTCAAGGAGCCTTTCAGAAGTTTCCTTCCAGTTCTATAATTTTAAATGCCTTGTTAGGGGAAACAACCTCAAAGAGACCAGAACACAGAAATTCTTCAGGTTGGCGTCTCTAAACTCCAGACACTTTAGTGGTACCATTCTGATGTCCAGACCCAAAGCTGAAGTCATAACCCTTTCCTAGGTTTTAACAGAATTAATTTTGTACAAAACAAATCCCCGTGTGTAAGAGAATGGTCAAATCCAGCACTCCAGATAGGCACCCGTTAAAGTTAGAATACAGCTTATCTGAACCCTGGCACAGATCAAAAGGTTGGTACTCCAAGGGCACTATTATACAAGGCACAACTGTTTCACTGCCATTCACTGGAAACATTCCAATAAGAGACCATTAATACCTCTTAGACCCGTGGTCGACAAACTGCAGCTCGTGAGCCACATGCGGCTCTTTGGCCCCTTGAGTGTGGCTCTTCCGAAGCCTTTGGAGTACCCTAATTAAGTTAATAACAATGTACCTACCTATATACTTTAAGTTTAAAAAATTTGGCTCTCAAAAGAAATTTCAATCGTCGTACTGTTGATATTTGGCTCTGTTGACTAATGAGTTTGCCGACCACTGTCCTAGACCATAAGTTTTCTCTCCAGTAGGGTGTTGGGGTACTGAGGAGGGCTAGATGGCCTTATAAATCATTCTTCTCTCAGCAGCCAAGCTGAGAGGACAACCCTCTCACTGCTGGAGCAAAGATGGTGCCCTTCCCTCCCTCATGTCTCCTGAGAAGGTTGTGGAGGATGTTAGTCAACAGAAAAACCAGAATGGAATGGAAGAATAGAAGGAAACTGTCATTTCCCCAACTGGAATTGGAGAAGTTATACCTATTATCTCAGTATACCCTCCATATCCCTTATGAGGACGCCAACGCCATCCCATTTTGAGCATGCGGTTCAGAGAGGATTCCCATCAAGGAGAAAACTCACCCTGTCCCATGAGACTGTGAAGACCTCGCTTTACCCAAGAGGTA